TTTAAGTCAGATCAGCATTAACAGCAATTCTTTATTAATGTAATATTTATGTAGTAAAAATTCTAATAAATGCCTACTCAATATATAAATATTTTATGACAAATGAATAATTAATTATTAGTGTCAGCTAATTGTTTATTTACATTCCCCAATCATGTTAAATCCACATCTGATAACTAATTACAAGTTTAAAGAAGGTGAATTTTTAATCAAATTATTCACTGATATTAATAATTCTTTAGAATTAGTACTTGTGCATAATATCTCCAAAGATGAATGGCGTGGATTTTACAATTGCTCCTATATAGAAAATATGACTCAAAAAACTGGTAATTACAAACAATTTGATATTTTTGTGACAATGTTAAGTGCTGGATTGTTAAATACCAGTGATAGTATAAAATTAGAGCTTTTAACATTCAAAGATTTAAAAGAATTACATCACAACAAAACATTTGCACGATCCGAAAGAATAGATCTTACTTCAAAAACCAATAAGAGATATTTAATATTGACATACACTGTTGAATTTGATGAAATCAATTATATCATTACCCTTAGAATATATAGGTCCACCAGATCCAAAAACACACAGAAAAATAATATACAAACTAGAATCTAGATTGAGAAGTATAAAACAAATCTTACAAAATGGCAAAACTGAAACGGCTGTGATAAATAAATTAAAAATGGAAAATAAAAATTTAAATGCCGAAAATATTTTGCTCAAGCAAAAGCTCAAAACAATGCAAAGCAATACTAAATCCAAAAAAAAACATGATTTTGCAAAAAGCATTGATTAAACTTGAGAAAAGTATAACTTTAGAACGAGAAACACATCATCAGTTAGTTCAAAAGTTAAGACTTAACAATTCACGCCTAAAACAGGAACTGAACATTACAAAGCGCAATGAAAAAATATTGCTAACTAAGTTGAAAGAAAATAGTGATGTCTTACGTTCCATAAACAGGAATTATAATTATGGTAATAAGACGAATGCGGGTGGAGAACATGGATCAAGAAAATTGACTCAAATTTATCCGAGAAAAACTAGATGTCATTCAGAATCTCCGGATGGAGTACGTACTTCAAGAAGATTCAGTCAAACTAATTCTACCAAAAGTAGAAGCCATTCACAATCATCTAACTCCTCAAGAAAATCTATATTTACTTTGACATCAGATAAAAGATCTAGATCTTCCTCTGTGGGACATTGCTATTCTCTCAATAGCTTACAAAATTTTAGTTGCAATTCTGCAAGTACCAGACG